TATACACTTGAACCATATAGGCAATTTATTTTATTAAACAGTATTCTGGTACTGTTTTGAGGGCACTAACCGCTTTGAGGGCACTGTACAAAACAGCCTGAATAATCTCCTATTCAGGAGGCTTTTGCTCATAACATTAGAGTGTCTTCTTTTTGAGTTTGCAATACATGACTTTCTTTCTGATCTCTGTATCAGTAATCATTGTGTATGATCTTGTTTGTGTCTATGGACACTAAATCTTTTAAATTATCTTTTCTTCCACTTTATGTTGGTTGCTACAATGTTTAACATCAATTTTGATCAAAGTAGACTGTAAGGCAAACATTATGTGTTAACTTCACCTTATCTTCTGTAATCTTTTCTTTTTTTCCTTTGTTTTACTTTCTCTGTGCCCTCATTTAAAAATTTTATCTCATTTCCCTTTTTCAAGACTTTGAGGTAGCAAAATATACATGGATTAAAGAGAGAAAATTATGACAGTTCAATTTATAAACTCTGTATCAGTATTATTTCACTAGAAAAATTTTCCTTAGACTGGAAGGCAATGAAGTGCTATATCAGGACATGAAATAGGCAAAAGCAACTTAAGCTGTGCTGCTTCTGACTACTGACGAAAAATCCTCTCCGAGTACCTCCTACTTCCATGAAATAAAGAGGTGCAGAGGGTGAAAGGACCACACTCCGGGGCCATGCTGTAACCACAAGGAACTTACAAGCAAAACCATAATTTTGCAAATTCGCCGCTTATCTTTGTCTTTATATATACTATCAAAGCTGCCTACATTTTTTCTGTCATTAGACTTCTGCTATTAGATATCCTCTTAATGATCTCAAGTATTTAATTGAAAAGACTTAAGTTCTTAATTCTATAACTGAGAAGTATTATAAAGAAGCTGTCTTTATAAAGGGTTTATTTTCCTTCCAATTGTCTTATATTCCCATCTATGTGCGTTTTATTCATGTACAACACATGCATACCACTTGTATCTGTGCAAACTATTTTAGGTCATTAAATATGAAATGTCTGATTTCTAATCAAAAGTGTAGCATATCTCAAACAAAAAGTAGTACAATTAATCAAAGTACGTGCCTAAATTACCAACACAGTTTTGCCATCTTAACAGTAGCTTGTTCATGCCAGCCGTGAAGAAGCCTAGGGAGCCAGCGGCGATGAAATCACAACAGGCCTTTTCCACAGCTTGCTGAGAATTGAATATTTTTCCTTGCAACAAGCAGTCCAAAGCCTGGAAGAGGTGGTAGTCAGTTGGTTCAAGGTCTAGTGAATACAGTGGATGACAGAAAATGTCCAGCTCTAGCTGCTGGTGCTTGAGCAGCGTTGTTTGTGCAACATGTAGTCAAGCATTGTCTTGCAAGAGGATTGGCCTGTCTCTATTGACCAGTCTCAGCTGCTTAATCGCAAGCATCCTCATCATTTCACCCAATTGGTTGCAGTAGACCTTATCTGTAATTGATTGACCAGGTTTCATGAAGATGTAGTAGATAATACCAGCACTGGACCACCAAACAGACACCACTAGTTTTTTTGATGAATATTTGGTTTTGGACTGTGTTTTCCACACTTTATGCTTGTGATTGTCGAAGACTCCATTTTTCATCACATGTAACAATACGGTGTAGAAATTGTTCACCTTTATGTCGTGACAGCAAAGAAAAGCAAGTTTCAACACGATTTCTCTTCCGATCCCGTTTAATCCATGTGGAACCCATCTGTCCAGCTTCTTTACCTTGCCAATTTGCTTCAAGTGGTCCAATATTGTTGGAATAGTAACATCAAACCTCACTGCTAATTCATGCATAGGTTGAGATGGATTCGCTTCCACTACAGCTTTCAGCTCATCATTACCCACCTTGGTCTCAGGTTGCCCACATGGCTCATTTTCAAGATTAAAACCGCCAGAATGGAACTTCTCAAACCATCAATATACTGTGCATTCATTAGCCACATCCTTCCCAAACACTTCGTTGATATTTCAAGCTGTCTATGCTGCCTTGGTTCTACAAAGGAACTCATATTCGAAAATAACACAAATGTTTGACTTAGCCATGGTTTCACAAAAATTGCTCTAAAAATTTTTCTGAAAGATAATCATAAGCCAAAAGTGTGTGTGAAAGACTGAGGATGTACCTTCACAACAAAAATAAAACAAGAAGTATGATAAAACATACAAAAATAAAACAAGAAGTGAAATGTCAGAGATAGCAACTGTCAAACTTAGTATTTAAGGAAATCGGACATTTCATACTTTATAACCTAATGCAATCTACAGGCCAAATCTGGCACACCATCATTTTTGCAAATTAAGCTTCGCTGAAACACATCACTCATTCATTTGTTCATTTATTCAGTTCTGTCTTTGGTTGCTTTTGAGCTAAAATGACAAGCTGAGTAGGTGCAACAGATAACACCTGGGCCAGCAGAGGCCTAAAATATTTACTTTCTAGCCCTTTACAGAAAAAGTTTGTTGATTTCTGAAAGTATATACTAACATTATTAATAATTCCTTGTGGACAGGATGTTGGACACAGGCATTTTCTTGAACACTAGTGACATTCTGAGGGAATTATTAAAATCGGAAATATATTATTTAAACATATTTTCAAAAGGCAAGCCGAATTACAGACCAATTGTCTAAGAAAAAAAAAATTCCTTCCCAAATGATTTAACAGCTTCATTATGACCATAGACTAAATATACTACAGTGAGGTCTTAATAAAATTCTTTTCAGTATTTTTAAAAGCACAATAAATACACTGACAATAGTAAAAATTATTTTATTTCACTAACCCCAGAAAATCAAGGCTAGCTAAGGCCAATTGGTGCTAACCAGAGAAATCATGCTTGTTCTTTCAGGAACTGATTAACACAAATAGTCCCAACATGTTCCTTCTAATCAGAAAAATTTATAAGCTTTGGTCAATGACTATGCACGTGGCTAATGGTGTTATTCTATGTATCCTTAGTTCAAATGTTAGCACGTATAGAACAGTTCCAAAAAATTTTTCTCTATACATACTAAACAAAAATCAAAATCAGGTGGGGCGCGGTGGCTCACGCCTGTAATCCTAACTCTCTGGGAGGCCAAGGCGGGTGGATTGTTTGAGCTCAGGAGTTCGAAACCAGCTTCAGCAAGAGCGAGACCCCGTCTCTACTAAAATTAGAAATAAATTAATTGGACAACTAAAAATATATAGAAAAAATTAGCCGGGCATGGTGGCGCATGCCTGTAGT